AATGGCATTTAGATGTGGTGTGATAATATACTGGTCAATATTGGTAGGGGACACCAACATGCCAGCATGCTTTGGATTTCACAGTATTAATCACTTGCACTATGTTTTGCAAGGAGTCCGTCATTGCTGAAACTAAATCTTAAACTGGAGCCATTGATGGAAATCGGGGAAAATTCCGGAAAAAATATGAAAATTGCCAAAAAAAGTTTAGGGTCGGGGGTATAAAATAGGGAAGGTCGGGTAACCGGAACCACACATATTTTTTTATTTGGCCTTATAACAGTTTTCTGTTTTCTGTAAGACTGGTAATAAATTTGTAAGGTCGGTATACCAATATTGAATATTGAACTAACAGAACAATACATAGAATCACGAGTACCTCGCAGTTATCTTACTTACTACTGCTCTTTTGTGGGGGAGTCGAGGAAGCTCTAAATCTCGCAAGATTTCTGGGGCATAACATTGTTTACAGCAGTGACAATCAAATGATTTGAACAATAAGCAGTGATGAGTATGCAGAAAGTACAATGTATTGCCAAGGATTGAACTCGAAATAGTAGCTATTTTGTGAAATAAGTAAAGTTTAATATATTTTTTGAACTATAAAAAGTAACGATTTTCAATGAGAATTTCATGAGAAGAGTCCACTTAGTGAAAAGTATCGCTAAAAATGTAACATTTGAGGATTAGCTCCTCTCTCAGATTTATTAGGCTGGTTCAGCATATGTTTAGCAAGATATTTCACCAGAATTTCTTTCTTATAAATTCCACAATGATCGATCTTGCATTGTATTCAATAGCACATATGCCCCAATCCAACAGGCGTTTCCTACCTCCACCGCAAAAGAGTTCTGCTAAGTTAAGTATATGCAAAATCAAGAATTGACTTTTTCATCAAGTTGTGTGCAATAATCATTGAGGATTTGTTAAAGAATATTTTTGTTTGTTCCCTTTAAATCCTACAAACTGAGACCCTTTTCGATGTAAATTGTAAGTAAACAGTTATGATAACAATAATCATTGCGAGTACAGGGAGTGGTGCAAAGCCCCGCTCATCACTGGGAGCTCTTAATACAACGCGTGGGTGAAGAGAAAATTTGGACATTGCACGTTGATCCAAACAAATTTTTTTTCCACAGTAACTTCTGGACCCACAATGCATTGCTTGTTAAATTACCTTCTCACAAGAATAACAATAAACTTCAACAAATAATAAACTCGCCTTTATTTATTGGATATATTGCAGATAAATAGTCAATAAAACATTCTTCATTAAAATAAGCACTGTTCTTTCTTCAGTTTAATGGTAACGAAACTTACATACCACATCATGTGCCGTCAGAGTCTAGACGCACCAAACGTCACGTGCGGTTTATAGAGACAGGCCTAAATACAATGATAAACAGTATACTGAAAAGGTATCTGCGCTTGCCCTAACGGTCTCACGATTAACATTTTATGATTGAATAATTCTCAGGTTTTTGATTGTCTGATAGCCAACATTTTAGAAATCAAAAAATGTTATACTGTAGACGTATTACATTTGGATGTGTATTTTTTTTAGTGCCTTTGGCTGAAAGAATCTTCTGTTAATTCAAGTACAATGCTAAATGTCTTGCAGCACATAATTATTCATGATTAAGAACATTAAGAAATGTGCTAAATCAAATCTAAGCTAACTTGCTCAAAAGTTAATTTCCCTCAAATATCGTACATGTACACGCTAAATAGAATACATTTACAGTATTCACCTGCATGTTATCTTCCAGATGAATATTATTGAATTCATGTACAATTATTGACTTTTGATGAGGTCTACTCATTACTATACAGACCTGGTCAGGTATTAGTTGACTGAGACCGAAAGCTATTCAAAAGTCAAGAGCCGTTTTATCAAAAGATCTGGAATTTACTACATTTTTGACACTTGAGTTCTTGTCTCCAACAAATATAAACACTCGTGATATAATGCATAGTGTAACTTAACACATTACAATTGTAATTGATCAGCTTAACAAATGTTTAAAAGTGGAAAAAAAATATTAAACAACAGATACTCAACTATTTACTAAGAAATTAGCTTAGTGTCTCTGCATCTAGCATTTTAACATTTAAAACGACACATGTTTTAAAAACATGCACTTTGATTGGTCAAAAATGTTAGCAAATCTATGAATAAATAAATTCAGAATTAAATTTATGAAATTTTTTTGTTAGAATGTTTGAGGCAAACAGAAGATGCATGGAATCCCCCCTGAACATGGAGACAGTACAGTTACATGAATTATCAAAGCTGGATTATTAGGTGCTACATTTAAACTCAACATAAATATTTGCTTATTTTTAAGGTAATGAAATATTTCAAACCGAATTTGTTGTATCATTCAGCATTTAATGTCCTGTATTGCCTTTTTTGGTGTAGTATGTATGTATGTTGTTCTACGTCCCGTTCGAGAATTTTTCACTCATATAGAGATGTCACCATATACTGGTGAAGGGCTTCAAATATTGACCTTTACTCGGCACTCAGGGCCATTGAACAGTGAGGGATCTTTATCGTGCCAACGCCTGCCGTGACACGGGGCCTCGGTTTTTAAGGTCTCATCCGAAGAACCCGCAACTTTCACTTCAAAGTGCCGAGCGCATGGCGAAGAAAGAGTTGCTACCCATTTTTTATTGACTTAGGTCAGTCGCGGCTGAGATTCAAACTCACAACCTCCTGATCACAGAGTGAGCACTCTACCAACTGAGCTACCGTGAACGGTCTTTTGGTGTAGTAGTTATAAGCTTCTAAAGCATATTGTTTTCAAAGAAACGAAAAGAAATTAAAAAATGAAAAGTAATTTATGCTAATTTTAATAGCCTACACTTTAAAAAGATTTCTGTATTTCCCCCTCTGAACTGTAGAGATTAGACATGTCAATTGATATACTCTATATTATACAATTCGGTGGTTAACGATGCAACAGAAGAATTCAAGTGCATAGTGTTGCCAAAGTACTTGCAGAAGTTGTAGTAAAACCTTCAGGGGTAAAAATATCATTTTCATCCTCTTATTTTCATACTTGATTGCCAAAGCTTAATTATGACTTTTATGAAGTTTTTCTATTCCAATTTAGGTATGCAGAGATCCCTTGAAGGAATAAAGAACAGCTTTTAATTAGAGAATTCTCTTTTAATACAGTTACAAAGCTGTCAAACCATGATGAGTAAAAAAGATGCAAGGAAATTTGTTTACAGCCTTCCACATGTTCCAGGTAATAATAAAATAATTCAATCTTCCAAAAGAGATTTTATCTCACTCAAGCAGAAGACTCAAGTGAGCTTTTCTGATCAAAAAGTGTCCGATGTCTGCCTATCTAGCTGTCCGTCAACCTTCTGTCCATCTGTCTGTCATGTTGCTGCAGAACTGTAGCTCTCCGAAAAAAAACATATATTGTCAGACCGGAGAGCAACAGTGCCACCCATTAAAAAAATGTGTATATTTACTGCGCCAAAAAAAAGTAAGCAGAATCTCGATTTATTTCTCTGTTATCAACTGCAATCTAAAAATACTATTAACCTTGTGTCTCTAACATATTTTTGCACTTTTTCCACAACAAAACATTCTTTACAACCATTGTTAATCATATCAATAGCCCTCCTGGACCTTGAAATTGAAACCATCGAAAATTTTGTCTATTTATTCTGCCATCTTGTTTGGCAAGGTAATTCGGTCCAACGCGCTTCTTGCAGATGTCAACTACAAGAGTAGTTGATAGAGGTCTAAGGAAAATTTTGAAATCCAGGTTTTGTGCAGTTGAGGTAAAAATTTAGAGAAATTAATTCAGAACCGAGCGCAACTTTTTGTGTGCAATAAATATACACTTTTTTCTATGGGTGGCACTGTAGCTCTCTGGTCGTCTATCCCAATTTTTTCAAACCAGCAAGTTACAGATCAGCAGCTTTCTGTCATGTTGTCTGTAAACTTAATTTTTACATTTTCAACTTCTTCTTCAGAACCACTGGGCCAATTTCAACCAAACTTACCTCAAAGCATTCTTCGGTGAAAGGAATTTAAGATTGTTTAGAGGAAGTGCCATGCCCCCTTTCAAGGGGAGATAATAAGGAACTCATGAAAATTTGAATTTTAAAAATTTTCTGCTCAATAACCACTTGACCAGAAACAATGAAATTTATGTGAAAGCTTCTATTAAAGTTTGTTCAAATCATGACTCCCAGGGGTAGGATTGGATCATAAGAAGGGATCAGAGAATTACATAGGAATATGTAGGAATTATCCTCAAAAATCTTCCTCCTGAAAACAGCAAAGCCATTATTAGTCATTTTTTATACAGAGGCATCCTCAGGTAGTGAAGATTCAAATTTGTTTAAATCATAACCTCCAGGACTAGCATGGGGCCACAACAGGGGATCAGGGTAATGCATTGGAATATATAGAAAATATTTTTTTTTAAATCTTCTTCTCAAGAACAACAAAGCCATAATTTCATATGTTTTTTAGAAACTTTAAAGGTATTGTAGACACAAATTTGCTAAAATCATGCCTGGGGAGAGGGGGGTGGTTAAGGTGGGACCACAATAGGCAGTAAAAGTTTTACAATGGAATACATATGGAAAATGTCTTTAAAAATCTTCTTCTTAAGAAGAGGAAAATTTATATGAAGTCATATTTATATGGAAGCATTCTAAGGTAGAGTAGATTGAAGGTTACATGTATTCAAATCATGACCCCCTATGGTAGGGTGGGGCTATAATATGTGATCAGTTTTACACAAGAATAAATAGGAGAAGAAAGAATCTGCTGATGGAGAACAGAAGGGCTATAGTTAATCAGGTGAGCATCATGGCCCATGGGCCTCTTGTTTGTTCAATATTTACATTAAGAATGGTTGTGTAGAAATCATCAAGATTCACCTATTATGTGTCATATTTTTTAAATTAAAAGTTAACAGTAAATATTGTTTGTTTATCAACAGATTCAGCAAATAATACTAGAGAATTAGTTAATGCAAGACCTAATGATGGAAATGTACCAGGTTCCATGGCTAGGAGAATGTCAGAAAGCCTCATCATTAGTGTGTTACAGGTAAAAATTTTTTTAGGAATTTAAGAAATAAATAACAGCTAGTGTTAAAAATTCACTAGGAAATGAATTTGGTTGGTTCACAATCACATCTCTTGAGAAGCCTGAAAGTCTCATTGATGAAAGTGTTACCATGCTGGTTTCCCAGGTGCCTATAACACTGATATCCTACATGTAGGTCCCAGTCAAGCATCTGCTCTGCTCAAGGTTCCAGGAGTGAAAAATGTTGGTTAGGAATAAAGTGGCATCAGGTATTGCTTCTGTCATAGAATCTTCTTTTTAAGAATTAATTAACCCCTTAGTCAGTATTAGAGATATATAGTTTTTGCCCTGCTTATCGATCTTGTTTGTCTGCAAAAATTTAACCTTGCCCATAACTTTTTTAGTATATGGAACTATGGCATTCATATTTCACAGGTCACTTGTGACAATACCTTTCTTTGGGTATCACTTAATTTGACCTCTTGACCTTGGAATTTGACCCACTTACACAAAAAATTACCAAATTTTAACCTTTGCAATAACATTTGAACGGTTGTGCTAGGGCTTTCATCCTTCACTTGTATATTCATTGTGGTAAGACCTTTTAATGGGCATAAATATTTTTGACCTTTTGACCTTGACCTTAGAGTTTGACCCACTTTTTGAAAACTTTAACCTCGGCTATAATTTTCAACGGTTAGCACAAGGGCTTTCATATTTCACAGGTGTATTCCTTGTGACAACACCTTCCTTTGGATACCAACAGTTTGACCTTTTCACCTTGACCTTAGAGTTTGACATGTATTTGAGAAACTTCAACCCTCGCCCTACGGGGGCATCAGTGTTTCACAAACACATCTTGTTTCACATAAATTGTTGCTTTAACAAAGACAAAGACACACTGTTGATAATTTTTTAAGATGACATTTTATTTACAAGTTATGCTGGGGGGTTCTGTTAAAATATTCTGTTTACATGAGGTCATGATGAACAAAAGAAGGTAGTATACTATACAGTGTTTAGACTGGCAGGAGAAGTGATATGGTATCATTATTTTCTTATACATATACAGTAAAACAGGCTTTAGCTTATAATGAATTCAAGCTAATAGCAAAGTGATTTTTATTCTCTGGTTTTTTTTTTTTAAACATATTACAACTCAATGTATACATGAATAATGATTTACCTTAAGTTTTTAACAAAGCAAAATTGTGTGTCCCTAGCACTTTGATATAGGCTTGTTTTTCTGACTAACTGTACAAGTATTTATTCCACCAGTTCAAATTTTAATATGAATTGTATACCTTTTATGCTTTTGATAACTGTGATTTAATGTAGAATTATGTCCACAGCATTTTTTTTAATCTTTGCAAAAACTATTAGAATTATTATTAGTCCCCCACCTGTGAAACCAGAGGTGACAATAGGTTTCACTGTGTCTGTGCGTCTCTCTGTACATCTCTCTGTCTGTCCATCTGTATGTCTATCAGTCTGTCCCACTTGGTTTACCACACTTTTTTTCTAAACGCTTGCAGATATTGAGATGTTTTTTTGGTATGTGAGTCTAACTTGATGAATTATAGATTAAGTTTGCATTATGATTTTTTGACGGAATTATGGCATTTTCAATTTTAAATGGAAACCAGATTACACTTGCTGGTAGGGGACTAGCATTGCAATGGCAAAACTCTCAGAATGCTTGTTCTGGTTGAAATGTTTGTGTTTTTAGTCCCCTACCAGTGAAACCGGAGGGGACTATAGGTTTCCTCTGAGTCTGTCTGTCCCTCTGTCTGTCTGTCTGTCCCACTTGGTTTTCCGCACTTTTTTCCTAAACGCTTGCAGACATTGAGCTGATTTTTGGTATTGAGTGTATCTTGATGAGTTACAGATCAAGTTTGCATTTCGTTCCACTTCATTGATTTTTGATGGAATTACGACCTCTTCAATTTCTAAGGGTTTTCCGCAATTTTCTTCTAAACGCTTGCAGATATTGAGTGATTTTTGGTATTTGACTTTACCTTGATGAGTTGTAGATCAAGTATGCATTTCGTTCCGCTTCATTGATTTTTGACGAAATTATGGCATTTTCAATTTTTAACGGGAACCAGATTACACTTGCCAGTAGGGGACTAGTATTGCTAATGCAATACTCTCAGAATGCTTGTTACAATTAAGTTGCATTTTTTTCAGAGGCAGTAAAGGAAATCGATGGTGATGTTTCTTGTGTTGGTGATGAGAATCAGAGTGAGGAGGAAATGGATGACAGTCAAGACAATCATGATTTCCACACTTTAACTCCAGGTACTGTATACACACTACATAACTGCATTACCCATCTTTAAGCAATAACTTCCTTTTCTTGATATTATAAGCAGAAGCCCTGAATGCTTAGCATTGTTAAGGCTGCATAAAGGGGGTGGGGCCTAATTTTTACGGGAAAAGTTTACTATGACATCACACAAAAATAGTTATTCCTCATAATACCAGAAAATGAAATAATTTGCAATTTTAAACTATCTTAACATAATAAACAACATGAAAACTACCAATGCATTAGTTTTTGTTGCTAGTTAAATCCCACAGAGCAGGTTATTAACAAATTACTGATTGCAGTGAACTTGTCGACATGACATCATTTTGGTAAAAATGACATATTTCATGTGCTGTGAGAGACAGAACGAAGATTTTTTTTACAGTGAAAAATGTATTTTATTATTAAACAGAATATTATTTACAGATTTCAGACAGGCAAGTGATACAAATGTAAAACCTTTGTTTAGTGCGATTATTCAATAATTATACAGAAAATGTATTTAATAAATTCTTCCGTGTTTTTATGTACAAGGTTCCGGACCCATGTTTAACATAGAGTTGCCTAATTAAATTGTTTTTTCGCAAGGGCATACACTTAATAGATCTTAACCGTTTTTCGAATGTAAATAAAGGATATTTTCCTTAACTTGAAAAGTGCTGCAGCTTACCCGAAATCGAGAGCATTATTTAATAAATGCATAAAACACTTTGTAAAGGTCACACATATTTCAACTGGAGCTACATAACATGAATTTTTCCTTATAAAATGCAAATTCTAAAGCAGCAGAACTTTTCAGAAAGTACAAGGTATATAGAAATAATTTATAACTTAGATTTTTTAATGGAACTAGGATATGCCCTTGCGATATTGAAATTTGTGTATGACCTACATGTAGTACACATTATATGCAATTATCACGTGACTTCCAAATAAGGTTACCAAACTAGATTCAATTTAGAGTGGGGTGTAGGCCTACATTATTATTTTTATTAATTTTTAAGTCATCTGGGAATATAATAGCTTTACAAAAATAAATCAGCATTAAAAAGTTATCTATTTGTACATGCCTATTTTCCATTGATTTCTTCACAGTATGCCTTAACAGTGCTGCGTGGTCTACATGCATGAAAAATGTGTAGTTCTCAATACTGGATATTGAGTATGAACAGAAGAGCTTCAGTATAAGTAACAAAAAGAGTGGTTATATATTCAAGGGTAGAGCAAGGTATATTCTGAAATAAGTTATTTGCGTTGGTGGAACTTTACCAATATGAGAGTCATCACATTTCACACATATGTCTTCTGAATGGAGATGGAAGAGTGAGATTAAATTCCAAACAGAACAAAATATTGATCTAAAACTGAATGTAAATTTAAGTAGCCAAGCACACAAGTTCACAGATCATTCAAATAATGAATGTACATATTTAATACATATATATTATAATTAGTGAACAATCATTCTCCAACCAAATTGTATTTCAGATGCCGAAAAGTTCTTCACTTTTCACAATTAAAATACTTAGCCAGTCATGATAAGCCACTTTCAGAGCTATTTGCTTTATTTTTATACAGACAAAAGTATAAACAGAAGAAAAATTATATTCTGAAAATTTGATTTTAAGGAAAAGGAAGCCACTTTCTGATCACAGATCCACAACAGAAATGGAAGATTCTGCATGCAAGTGACAGAAGATACAAAAAATCCCATGGACATCATGTGAAATGATTTTAATCAAAAAACATTTCAGAAAAGATTACAAAAATGTAATAAGAACTTAGATAAGTGTTAAAGACCAAGTATATAATCTAGTTTAAAAAAAAAACCCAGAGAAAATCTTGATTTACACACTAATTTCAATTGATATATTTTTGAGAAAAATGATAAACACTGTGTTTTGGAGCCACAATTAGCAGTATTGGGGGTTAAATTGTTTGCAGCAGTTTTATCATTATGAAACCTGCATGGACCATGATACTTGCATGACTGAAGAGTGAAGAAGAAACTGCATGATGTGTGTAGCAAATGATTTTGAAGTACATGTATTAAATATTCTGTGCAGAAGGAAATTTTTTCCTTTTTTTTTTATGAACATGTTTTCAAGTATCGCATAACCTTTCTGAAAGTGAAAAAAATGTGCATGTCCCAATTAAGTTTGATCAAGTCTCCAAATAAAGTTATATGCAGAAATTCTTTTTTTATTTATCCACTATGGTATTGTTCATGAAATCTACAGTGAAATGTACTTTTAAGTGAGTTGAATTGAATATAAAGAGTTGGGTTCACTTTATGCATAAGATAGCCTTAAGATAGTCCTTATATCAGTTAATTGTCCATCACCCTCTGTCCCATTTCTAACATCCAAATAAAGCTGAGAGTGCCTTTCATTCCTTTAACAAAGTTTCTTAAAGAGTCCAGAGATTGGAAATTAAACAAGCTTTGTAAAATTGCAAAGTTCTTGAACTTTTGCAGAAAACAGGCTTATTTGAAAGAAAACTAAATACAAGCTTACTCCTCAACCCAAAATATAAAACATGTTTTTCAGAAACAGATCCTTAATTATTTAATATCCTCTGCATGGATTAGAGATTGCACTCTATATGAAATATTTTTGAAAAATGCTAAAACTTTTGTCCGTTGTTGAAGGAATTTTCAGGATATGGGGAAAATCTTTCCTTTATATTGATGTTTGAAATAGGACCCTGGGACTTTGTCAGTTAATTGGTATGTATGAAGGGCCATTTTATGGATAAAGTGAACCCAGCTCTTTACATCATTTTTAATAGATACAGTCACCAAAGGTTCAAAAGATAATTTAATGCACATGATACTAAAACTGAGTAGTTTTGATTTCTCACAATTCAAAGGGCCATAAAAACCCTAAGTTAACCTTGCTTTTTTATAATGTTTATGTCTACAAACTTTTACCATATGTATCAGGTCCTTAGTTTCTAAAAATACCATTATCTTGTGTAAGTCCGCAAACTTTTACCATGTGTATCAGTTCCTCAGTTTCTATTAATACCCTATCTTGTGGAAGCCCCCAAAGTTTTACCATGTGTATAAGGTCCTCGGTTTCTATACATACCCTTATCTTGTGTAAGCCCCCAAACTTTTACCATGTGTATCAGTTCCTCAGTTTCTATTAATACCCTTATCTTGCGTAAGTCCCCAAAGTTTTACGATTGTGTATAAGGTCCTCGGTTTCTATAAATACCCTTATCTTGTGTAAGCCCCCAAACTTTTATCATGTGTATAAGGTCCTCAGTTTCTATACATACCCTTATCTTGTGTAAGTCCCCAAACTTTTACCATGTGTATAAGGTCCTCAGTTTCTATACTTTCAGTATGTGTAAGTCCCCAAACTTTTACCATGTGTATAAAGTCCTCAGTTTCTATAAATACCCTTATCTTGTGTAAGTCCCAAAACTTTGCATGTGTATAAGGTCCTCAGTGTCTATAAATACCCCTATCTTGTGTAAGTCCCAAAACTTTGCATGTGTATAAAGTCCTCAGTTTCTATAAATACCCTTGTCTTGTGTAAGCCCCCAAGCTTTTACCATGTGTATAAGGTCCTCAGTTTCTATACATACCCTTATCTTGTGTAAGCCCCCAAACTTTTACCATGTGTATCAGTTCCTCAGTTTCTATCAATACCCTTATCTTGTGTAAGCCCCCAAACTTTTACTATTGTGTATAAGGTCCTCGGTTTCTATATATATACCATTATCTTGTGTAAGCCCCCAAATTTTTATCATATGTATAAGGTCCTCAGTTTCTATACATACCCTTATCTTGTGTAAGTCCCCAAACTTTTACCATGTGTGTCAGGTCCTCAGTTTCTATACTTTCATTATGTGTAAGTCCCCAAACTTTTACCATGTGTATAAGGTCCTCAGTTTCTATAAATACCCTTATTTTTTGTAAGTCCCTAAACTTTTATCATGTGTATAAGGTCCTCAGTGTCTATAAATACCCTTATCTTGTGTAAATCCCAAAACTTTGCATGTGTATAAAGTCCTCAGTTTCTATCAATACCCTTGTCTTGCATAAGTCCCTAAATTTTAACAATATGTTTAAGGTCCTTAGTTTCTATACTTTCATTATGTGTAAGTTCCCATACTTTTATTATGTGTATAAGGTGATCAGTATCTATACATTTATTATGCATAACTTTAACTATGTGTATAAAGTACTCAGTTTCTATAAATACCTGTATCTTGTGTAAGTACCCAGTTTCTATAAATACCCTTATGTTATTTAAGTCCCTTAACTTTTATCATGTGTATAAGGTCCTCAATTTCTATAAATACCATTATCTTGTGTAAATCCTCAGTTTCTATAAATACCCATATCTTGTGTAAGTCCCCCAAACTTTTACCATGCTTATAAGGTCCTCAGTTTCTATAAATACCCTTATCTTGTGTAAGTCCCAAAACTTTTACCTTATGTATAAAGTCCTCAGTTTCTATTCATACCCTTATCTTGTGTAAGTCCCAAAACTTTTACCATGTGTATAAAGTTCTCAGTTTCTATAAATACCCTTATCTTGTGTAAGTCACCAAATTTTTACCAAGTGTATAAGGTCCTCAGTTTCTATAAATACCCTTATCTTGTGTAAGTCCCCAAACTTTTACCATGTGTATAAGGTCCTCACTTTCTTTAAATACCCTTTATTTTTTGTAAGTCCCCAAACTTTTACTGTGTGTATAAGGTCCTCAGTTTCTTTAAATACCCTTTATCTTGTGTAAGTCCTCAAACTTTTACTGTGTGTTTAAGGTCCTCAGTTTCTATATATACCTTATCTTGTGTAAGTCCCCAAACTTCTACCTTGTGTATAAGGTCCCCAGTTTCTATAAATACACTTTATCTTGTGTAAGTCCCCAAACTTTTACCATGTGTATAAGGTCCTCAGTGTAAGTCCCCAAACTTCTACCTTGTGTATGTGATGTGATTGACTGAAAAATTATGTATTTTTGAGATATACGCTCTTAATTTTTTTTTAATTAAGAAGGGAGGGGGGGGGTATCGATCCACACTTCAGGCGCCTGTGTTTACAAGGGTTATAAGGAATGTATTGCTTTGGAAATAGTACAGGAATATGTTAGGAACACACAGTTAGTAATATTTTGAAACGGCGGTTTGAAAAACACGGAAAAATAAATCGAGAAACAGCGCACTTTTTTGTGCGCAATAAATATCCACTTTTTTCAATGGGTGGCACTGTAGCTCTCCGGTCTGTCAATATTTTTTTTCGGAGAGCTTCAGACACTGTAGCTCTCTGGTCATCCATCCCAATTTTTTCTGACCAGCGAGCTACAGATCTGCAGCTAGTCTTATGCATGTATAAGCTGCAGATCTGTAGCTCACTGGTCTGAAAAAATTGGGATGACCAGAGAGCTACAGCGCCACCCTAAGAAAAAAAAAACTGTATATTTATTGCGCACAAAAAGTTGCACTCATTTTTAGAAAAATACACTATTATACCATATACGTCCTTTCTCTAAACGTGAGAAAAAGTGCAATCTGCTTGCATAGAACGACATATAGATGTGATTGACTGAAAAATTATGTATTTTTGAGATATACGCTCTTAATTTTTTTTTAATTAAGAAGGGAGGGGGGGGGGGGTATCGATCCACACTTCAGGCGCCTGTGTTTACAAGGGTTATAAGGAATGTATTGCTTTGGAAATAGTACAGGAATATGTTAGGAACACACAGTTAGTAATATTTTGAAACGGCGGTTTGAAAAACACGGAAAAATAAATCGAGAAACAGCGCACTTTTTTGTGCGCAATAAATATCCACTTTTTTCAATGGGTGGCACTGTAGCTCTCCGGTCTGTCAATATTTTTTTTCGGAGAGCTTCAGTTCTGCAGCTAATGCAGGTATATGCATTATTTTGTACTTTTAATCAACCTGTACGTACATAAGCCGCTGACTAATGAAAGAGGCAATGTAGCACATGCACTTGTTTCTGCAATAAATTTTTAACCCTTTGCATAATGATTATTATAATATGGGTTAAAAATTTATTACAGAAACAAGTGCCTGTGACCTCGATATGTAACCTCGCCATTTTTGCTCCTTACTCCAACGCGAATTCCGCGGCTGGATGTACATCTATAGTCGACACTACTTTTTAAAATAAATTTAATAATAAACATTATTCGTGTGTTTTTTCTTATATTAAAAGCTTTACATTCAAGAATATAGTGATACTCATCAGCAACTTGGGCAATAACACAGGCTGTACAGGGTTTTTTTCCCTATGTGGTATATCATGCTATCGTCTGGCTTCTACTGGTAGACGACGATTTTATTTATGAAATTTTAAAAGTATTTTTCTAAATGAAAGAAAAGTTACCAATGTAATTTTCAGATCCCATGCTTTGCTTAAAGAGTCTATAAACTTGTTTTTCAGGAGTTATCACTGAACAACTTTTGAATAATTTGATGTAACATTTGCATTATAATGAAGATTACATGTTGTATCCTTCATTAAGAATTCATATTGACACCTTGTTCATATTTGATACATCTCGGCATGTAGTATCGGGGGGAGGGGGGTTGGCCCCTCAATTTTTTCCAAACTTAACTTTTTACTGTTGAAAATGTTCCTAGAAAAGATTGTTACGCCACTTTTGTTCCAGTATATTTAAATCATGGGTAATGTATTGATACCGTTTGACTGTGATCCCCCTTTCCAACGACATAGGATTTAAGAGTGTGGACAATTTATGTTTTTTTTTTCTTGTCACATTATTTTTTTCAGGTAGGTTGTCATCCCACCCTCACCCCTTTCAGGCTCAACTTTCAGAATCGATACTACGTGTCTGACAGCACACACATTTACAGATTTTCTGTAAAATATGCAATTCTAACCACGGGTTTAATAATTTTTCATTACTATACAGTTTAAGCATTTTGTACAATACATTTACAATTTTATTATTGCAATGTATCCTAGCTATGAGAGGAAACGGGTTGCACACCACCAGACGTTCTTCGGATGCAACTTCTGACCTACACGGATGATCTGACGTACATTTTCTAGGCGATTGAAATTGTCAAAGTTTTTAGCGGGTTTATTCCTAAGAAATACAAATCACTCGTACCAAACTTCCTCGCTATATGTTGGTATATGCACACTAGATATACTGATATACATAGAGCTAT